TCTTGGCCGGCGATGAGGGAAGGCCGTTTGGGAAGGCCCAGCACCACATTTCCTGATCGGGAAAAGGGCGTCCCAGTTATCCGCTGGGCTGCGTAACAAAACGCTGTTCTCTGTTTTGTTCTGGGCGCCAGGCGTGGAGGCACGCAGCCGGCTGGAGCAGTTGTTATTTCGGATGTTGTCTTTGATGTGCCAAAGAGATCTTGACACAGAAGCCTGGGCCTGGCGCGGGAGCCGAAAGCTTGCTCGTGATTAGAGAGGGGTAATGGCCCCGTGCACTTCTCCCGGTGCGTGCAGAGCTCAGAGCTGCCGGCTCTGTCTCTTCTCGGGCCTTGAAGACTCTGCAGAGCCCCTGCGTGAGCACCCCGGGGAGCGGGGTGTGTGGAAGGGGCCGGAGGCTGTAGGTCCTTCTCCCTCTGGGCTCCAGGTTGAGCTGTCGCCCGAAGGCTCCTCGACGTGGAGCCGTCGGTCTCCCGTGGGCTCCGAGGTCCAAGAGTGGAGACGGGCGCGTGGTCCGTCCCGCTCTGTCTCCCCCGAACCCGGCTGCAGACTGGCAAGCCTCGGCCCAGGCCAGCCCGCTGACGTGTTGTATTCTCAGTTTGTGTTGATCGTCAGCCTTTGAAGACTGGAGGATTTCACCTAAAAATCTGGATTTCTGGATTCTCTTGAAAAATGGGAAGCTTGAGCAACACTAGCCCTGCGTTCGTCCCTGCAGTTGGCTGGGAGCCACGGGGCTGCGGCCGCGGTGGACTGGGCAGAGCCCGGTTCTGCCGTTCCCGCCTCTCCGGGCGAGGCTGAGTCAGCGCTGTCCCGTGCCCAGCGGATCCGCCGTGCGGCTGGGAGCCGGGGCTTTGCAGTCACGCCCGCTCCATTCACAGGCTTCGCTTTCCCCAGCCGTGTGGTCCTGGGCCAGTTACGTAATCTTCTGGTGCCTCCGTTGTCTCGTCTGCACGGGAAGATCCTGTTGCAGCCGACGTCACAGGGCTGAAGGGGGGACTGCGGGAGGTTAAAGCAGAGTTGCCTGTAGCCAGCACTTGATAGATGCCATCGTTGTCATGGCGACTACTATGCCTGCTCCCCATTTATCCACTCACGTCACCTGCCTGGCCCCGCAGGCATCCGCGTTAAACCTGAGCCCCCCGAGGTCCAGGATGTGGTGTCCTCGTTTCTTCATCCCAGAGCCTGGCACGCGGCGGGGTGTGCAGGGAGTGTGTGTGGAGTGCCGAGTGGGTGGGGGGCCGGCCCAGGGTGCGGGAGGCGGCGCAGCAGGGTGGTGTGGGGCTCGCCTGCCATCATAGCCCTGCCCTGCCTGGATTAGTGCCCGGCTTCTGCGTGGAGTGGGGGTAATCGGGTCGTCTGCCCCCGTGGCGGGAAGGAGCCAAGAGCCTGTGTGATCTGTTTGTTTGTGCGGGGTGGTCCTCAGTGAGGTGCTGGTGTCCCCTGTGACGTGCGTTCCTCCCCGCGGCTGTAGACACTGAGACTGAAGTTTAATCTCCGTGCTGTCCCTTCCTCTCCTGGCTCTCCTTGCTTCCTCCCTGTTCCTCTGCATCCAGACGGTTCTCTCTGAGGACCGCAGCAGTCAAGATGCTTTCAGTTGCAGGTAACAGATTAGCCCCACTCCACGAGCTTGAGCAGTAAAGGTGGGAGGCCAGGGACAAAGGGAAAAGCCAGGGGTTGGGCAGGCGCTGGCTCGGGCCCTCTTCTCTGTGATTTCCTTGGCTCTGTTGTCCTCTGGGAGTGACTTCCGCCTCAGGCCAGCCCCCCTGATGGTCGAACCTGGGTCCCCTGCCTGTCCCTAAACCCATCGTGGGATCGTGCTCACTGGCCCCCAGCCCTGGGGTTGGAGCTGCGGTCGACTGCTGACTTTGTTTCGTGGTGGTGGCCGGGACGTGCGGGAGATGCTCTGGAGATGGCGGCTCCTGCTGGGCTGTGAGCCCACTTGGCTTAGTAGACAGTCAGGGCGGGCCCCGGAGCAAGCCGTGCAGCTTAGATCCCGTGTTGTCGATGCCAAGTGTATGCATCAGTGAGAGTCCCCTTCGGCAAAGGTGAGAGGTCAGGTCGGTCTCCTGAGACCAGGGAAAACAGCACCGTCTCCGTCGGGGCCGGTGGCCATCCTTGCGTGTGTGCACGTGTGTACACGTGTGTGCCCGTGCCCCACAGACTGACACCCCACTGGTCCCTGCTGCTCCTGAGCAGACGCCGCTGCAGGTCTGCGGCCCCTGGAATGACGACTGCATTCCAGCTACAACCTGCGGGTGACGACCTCCCCGAACGCCATCCACTCCCCCGAGAGCGCCCAGGCGTGCGAGTGAGGGCCGGGCAGCAGTCGCTGAGCAGGGAGAGGTGGGCTGACGTGAGACCCCCGGTGCTGCTCCTAGCCTCTGGCGTCTGGAACTGTGAGAAAGTGGGGAAACAGAGGAATGGGATGGCCTGTTGCTCAGTAGGCACTCCACGGCAGGGTGTATGTGACTGCGTGTGAGTGTGAGAGCGTGTGTGTGGTTTCCAGACGCAGCTGGCTCCGTGGGTTTGGCGGCAGGATGCTGCATTGCATCCTGATTGTGTCACCCTTGGAAGAAGAGGCTGAATAAACACGTAGCCTTCTCTGCAAGCCCAGCACGCCTTAAATTTTGGAGGCTTTCAGTCTCGCCGGAAAAGAAAAAAGCTCTAGACTGACTGTTCTGTTCTCCATTCCATCCTCAAGCCCGCACGAGCAGGTGGAACGGAGAGGAGATAGTGCAGCCCTGTGTGAGGTGGGCGGATGGACGCCACAGCAGGTGACGACGGTGTCCGGTGACTTACAGATGGTGGTGGTGTCCAGCGTAGCTGTGGAGGGGTGGGGAGAATGGCAAACCTGCTCTCCCCCAGCCAACTTCGAGAAGCTCATGGAATAGGTGGGGAAACAAGATTTATAAAAAATAGGATAGGCTGGGCGCGGTGGCTCACGCCTGTAATCCTAGCACTCTGGGAGGCCGAGGCGGGAGGATCGTTTGAGCTCAGGAGTTTGAGACCAGGCTAAGCAAAGAGCTGGACAACTAAAATAAATATATGTATATATAAAATTAGCCGGGCATGGTGGCACATGCCTGTAGTCCCAGGTGCTTCGGAGGCTGAGGCAGGAGGATCCCTTGAGCCCAGCAGTTTGAGGTTGCTGTGAGCTAGGCTGATGCCACAGCATTCTAGCCTGAGCAACAGAGTGAGACTCTGTCTCAAAAAAAAAGGATGCCAATAGTACAAGGAAATGGGATCATTGGATCCTGCCAAGCGAGGGGTCTGCAATGTGAGTACTTGGCAGCCAGGTGAGAGCAGGTGCCAGGGAAGAGGTAAACTGAGCTCTAGAGCCCAGGCAAGGTGCAGAGTTTGGAAAGTGAATTTGGCGTTACCTGCTGGGCTGGATCTGAGCCCGAGAGGAAGGCCTGGGACGCCGTGCTAAGGGGTTTGGACCTGACACATATCTTGGGTTCTATTTATTGTTCTTGATGTGGGCACCAGTGAAAGAAAGCTCCTGTGGGACCCAGGTGTCGGTTATGTTTGCAGCGCTAAGGGACCTGGGCTTGCGTGGGGAGATTGGGCCGTGACGCCCTGGGGCTAAGTGACAGGGGAAGGGTCGACTCTTGGGACAGGGCTCCACTAAGGGTAACCCTGACTCGTCTGAGGGGCCAGTGCAGCTGCTCAGAAGGCCGCAGAGCCGGAGGGCTGTGGTCAGCAGAACGAGCGGCTGCAGGGGCTCAGGCCGAGGCAGAGGACCACGGCTGCAGAAGGCCAGGTGCTCAGCTCAGCACCGAGGGGAGCCGTCTACAGGCAGGAGCTGGGGTCCCCGGTCCAGGCCTGAGCCCCTGGGCCTGCCTGTATCTGGATCTGCATGAGGGCTGCCGCTGCCCTGGTGCGTAGCTCCGGCTGTGCTCAGCTGGGCCTGCTTCCTCCCTTCGGAGCCGTGGGCGCGTGGGCAGGTGATGTTCTGAGCTCCTGCCTTGCTTGTCCTTCCTCTTTCTAGCCAACGGTCAGGGCAGGGGGGCCCAGGACTGGAGGAGGCCTGTTTCTGCCCACCGCGGAGCTGTCTGGGGCCTGCCCTCAAGAGGGGCTGAGCCTGGGAACACTTTGCCCCATTCCCAGGGAAGCTGGGGAACCATTCACGGAAATTGGAGCCCGACAGTGGCCTAGGCTTTGGGTCCTCATGGTTTCGTTTTTAGTGCTGTGGGCCGACTCCAGGGGCCCCAGCTCCTCTGGGCCCTGCTGCCATCTCTCTACCAAGGCTGGGCCCCACGTTCCCACCCAGAACCCTCCGTCTAAACAGCCAGGGCTGGGGTGGGCTGGGAGTCGGAGGGTGGCAGGACCAGGAGCCCAGGGGTCTCCAGAGAAGACCACTGAGGCAGGAGGGAGGAAGCCCCAGACAGTCACGTCACCAGCCCTTCGGAGACCACCCCTGAGCCCCAGTGGTGGCCGTCTGAGGGGGGCCGGCTCTCTGGCAGGGCCCGTCTGTGACTTCCTTGCTCGTCTGCGTGAGGAGCAGGGGTGGACGTGGAGGGCCCTGGGCCCAGCCTGCTAAGGGAGACAGACCTCTCTGATGGAGCGAGGCAGGTTGGGCAGACCTGCCTCTGCTGGAATCCTGCTTCAGCGGGAGGGTCTGGGAGGTGCAGCAGCATCACCCCATCCTCAGAGCTGCTGTAGGAACAAACTCTCCGATCGGGATCTCCTCCTGGGCCCTGGGGCCACCTGAGCCAGGAGGGATGAGCCCCGGGCCCAGGCATCCCTGGCCGTCCCAGGGAGAGCAGAGCCTCTTCCCAGGGGAAAAGGCCTTTTCCAGGGTGGGAGTCCTGGGCCCTGAGGGTCACTGGGCGCTCTCTGCGGAAGCTTGGCCTGGAGTTTGGGCGTCAGAGCTCTGGGATGCTCAGAGTGTGTTCCGAGGTTTGCTGAGAATCCAGACGAGGCGGGCAGGCCTGGCTTAACTCAGGCTTGGCCTCCCCCAGTTTGGCCTTGCACCCCAGGGGGCTCACTGCCTTGCTTCATCTTCCTCTCGGCAGAGTGGAGAGCCGGAGCCGCGGAGCCTCTCGATGGGCGGCCATGTGGGCTTCGACAGCCTCCCGGACCAGCTGGTCAGCAAGTCGGTCACTCAGGGCTTCAGCTTCAACATCCTCTGTGTGGGTGAGTGTCACGGTCATGGCCTGGCCAGGGCAGCCTCGGACAAGGATGGACAAGAACCACCCGGGAGATGGGTGTCCTTGCCCTGGACAACCGTAGGCTGCAAGGCAGCTTCCCAGGCAGGGCGGGACTCTGGGGGTCAGGACGAGGGCTCTGTTGAGCTGGGACCTACCTGACAGCGAGGTGACATGAAGAGGAAACAGGGATTAGGCACAGGAAGGTGCTTTGTGAACCATGGGTGTTTATTACAGAAATTTAGATTCATTTATTCATTTGTTTATCTAAAAGCATTTACTTGTTTACTAATCCCTACTGTGTGTCAGGGACATTATGGCAAACAGGCATGTGCACCCCACTGCAATGACACATAGTGAGTCTCCAGCGCTTGTCTGCACGAGTGCAACCCAGGCAGGGGGCTCTGGGAGGCTCTGTGCACCTCAAGGCCTGGGACTCCTAGGGGGCACAGAGCGCTCTGCACAGAGCGGCTGTGCCCCTGGAGAGGCAGCCCCCACCCCCGCCAGCCAGTTAAAGCCACATGGAACTGGAGCTGCTGGGGACACAGGGACTGAGCCACTGGGGGCTTCAGACACCAGCCCTGCTGCCCTGTGGCCATCCTGGGCCTGGGTGCGGTGTGCAGAGCGGGCAGTGTGCTGGGTGCCAGGGTCCCACTGAGGCTGGCGGTGCCTCCCTAGCTGCCCGGTCTGCTGCTTCCCACCTCCCCGGAAACATGCCACACCTCCCGCGTGGCTGTGCCTCGTGTCCAGGCCCGCCTTTGCGCTCTTTCTTCCACATGTTATTTCTGGGGTCACCGAGGGAGGGAGAGTTCCTGGGGATGGGGACAGCGAGGGATGGGGTGCGAGGCCTGCCCCCTCTCTTGTGTGGGGCCGCGGGTGCCCGGCCCCGCCCGGCCTAGCCACCAGCCCGAGACAGCCCTGGATGCAGCCTTTGCCGCCACCCTCGCCCTCCCGCCCGCCCCAGGGGAGACGGGCATCGGCAAGTCCACGCTGATGAACACGCTCTTCAACACCACCTTCGAGACGGAGGAAGCCAGCCACCACGAGGCGTGCGTGCGGCTGCGGCCGCAGACCTACGACCTGCAGGAGAGCAACGTGCAGCTCAAGCTGACCATCGTGGACGCCGTGGGCTTCGGGGACCAGGTCAACAAGGATGAGAGGCAAGAGGCGGGAAGGGCGGCCCGCCAGCCTCCGCCCCATCCCGGCCACCGGGGCCACCGTCCTGAGACTCTGCCCTACGCGTGGCCGAGCCCCACACTCCTCTGGGGCCCCGTGGTGGCAGCTAACTGGCCAGGGACCCCTTGGAGGGTCAGGGGAGGCGGCCGCACCTGTGCCCAGACGGGCATCCCGGGGAAGCTGCTCGTTCCCAAGGAGACGGGGGTGGGGGGTGACGCAGCCGTCCGTAGTTACAGGCCCCGCCTCCTAGTGACAGCCTTCCGTAGTTACAGGCCCCGCCTCCTAGTGACAGACTGAGCCGTCCGTAGTTACAGGCCCCGCCTCCTGTGACGGACGGAACCATTTGTAGTTAAAGGCCCCGCCTCCCGGTGATGGAGCCGTCTGTAGTTACAGGCCCCGCCTCCCGGTGATGGAGCCGTCTGTAGTTACAGGCCGCATCCCCGGTTGATAGCCGTTGTGGTTACGGCCGCCCCCGGAGGACGAGCGGTCTGTGTTACAGGCATGGCCCCGGTGAGCGCAGTTACAGGGCCCCGCTCCTGGTTAACGGAGAGTCTGTAGTTACAGGCCGCCTACTGGGTGATGAGCATCCATATACAGCCCGCTCCTGGTGTGGAGCATCGTGTTTACAGGGGCCCCGCCTCGCCCAGTGCGGACGAGCCGTGTAGTTACAGGTGCCCGCCTCTGGTGAATGGAGCCTCATGTTAGGGCCCGCCTCAGTGACGGACGAAGCGTCTGTAGTTTACAGCCCCGCTTGGTGATGGAGCTTGTTACAGGCCCGCTCCTGGTTGATGGAGCATCTAGTTACGGCCCGGCCTCACTCCCCTCCCTGTGCGGGACAGAGCCGTTGTGTTAAGGCCCGCTCCTGGTGATGGAGCCATCCATAGTTACAGGCCCCGCCTCCTGGTGATGGAGCCATCCGTAGTTACAGGCCCCGCCTCCCAGTGACGGACAGAGCCGTTTGTAGTACAGCCCGCTTCCTCGTAACGGAGCGTCTGTGTTAGCAGGCCCGCCCCGTGATGCGTAGTTAAGCCCCGCCCCGGTGACGCCGCATGTGGCCCCTTCGCGAAGCCGTCTGGTAGTTACGGCCCATGCGGTGGATACATGACGCTGCAAGTTCGAGAATACTGCAGGAGGAGTCAAGATCCGCCGCTCGCTCTTCGACTACCACGACACGCGGATCAGTGTGCTGTATTCATCACGCCCAGCGGGGCCATTCGCTAAGGTGCCTGGACCTGGTGACATGAAGAACTGGGACAGCAAAGGTGTTGCCCCCGCCCGTCCTCGTCCCGTGCCTCCCGCTGGGACGGAACAAGCAGGGGGGTTGCGATGGGGCTGGTCGGCGCTGGCGGTGAGGGTGGTGGCGTGGTGGTCGGTGCGTGCTGTTGGGGCGGTGGCTGGTCGGGTGGCATGGATGGTCGCGGCTGGCGTTTGGGCTGGTGTGGCGGGTGGTGGACGGCTGGCGGTGGGTGTGGGTGGAGTGACGGCGCGGGTGCAGTGGATGGAGAGTGGTGGTCGGGGTGGCAGTGGGCTGGATCGTCGGTGGGAGTGGTCGGGCTCGCAGTGGGTGAAGCGGTCTGGTCGGTGCAGTGCTGGAGTTAGCGGTGGGACTGTCGGGCTGCAGGTGGGGCTGGAAAAATGGTGGCAGTAGGGATGGTGCGGTGCTGTGGTGGGCAGTGGGGGTGGACTCAGTGGGTGGGCTGGTCGGGGCTGGCAGTGGACTGACGCGGCGTGGTGGTCGGGGCTGGAGTGGATTGACGCGGTGGTGCGGGGCTGGACGTGGTAGCGGTGGGGACTGGTCGGGGCTGGCAGTGGGGGGCTGGAAATGGTGGCAGTGGGGACTGGTCGGTGCTGGCAGTGGGGGCTGGACTCAGTGGCGGTGGGGGCTGGTCGGGGCTGGGAGCGGCGCCCTGGCTCGGCCGTGTCCGTCGCTCACCGTCTCCGCTGCCCCAGCGCCCCGTCGCTCTGGGCCGCCCCTCCGGCGCCCTCCGGCGCCCTATGCCGCGTCTGGCCCTGAGCCTCTTCCTTCCAGCCGAATCCGTGCGCATTCTCAGCCCTGCCGCCCCTCCCCCCAGCTCCCTCGCCTCCCTGTGATGCTTCCCCAGGGGTCCCGTCCCATCCCAGCCTCTGCTCACTTCTCTCCCCCAATTCCTAATTCTCATCCCTGCCTTCACTTCCCTTTTCCTCCCTGACATGGTTTCCCTTGGTTCCTTCTGAGCCCACCAGGGAGAGGGGGCTCAGCCCCAGAACCTGGATGTGGATGAGGCGTAGCTGTTGTGAGGGCAGCTTTTCGTGGGGGGACAGGGAGAGTTGGGGGTCCTAGAGGACATGAGACCCCACACTCACTTGTCAGCTGTCATGGCCCTGCCGTCTGCGTCTCGGTGTGAATTTCTGTTGTGAAACCTGGGATAACCTTGGCCTGGGAAGCTTTGAGATCTTCCTGTGGCCACTGCTGCTGGCAGGTCACTGCTTGGTGGGGAGCTGAGCCCCTGTCCCCACCGCTGCTGTCGGGCCCCAGGCCACTCAGGACCTTCGGAGCATTCTGGGTCAAAGCTACGTCTGCCGGGGGGCCAGTTTGGGCTTGGATGGTGGTTTTGGGGAGCCAGGGCTGTGAGAAGCAGCCGATCATCACAACACGTTAGTGTGGCCGCAGGTGGCTGAGTTTGGGGCGGGACCGCCCACGGGAGTAGCTTCCTCTCTTCGGCTTCCCGCCCCTCTGCCCAGGGACGTGGCCCCCGTGTGGCTGTCCCCAGTCAGGGAGCCACTGCTCGAAATACCCGCCAACCCGCTGTCCCCACCTGGTCTGGGCAGGTGAACATCATCCCCATCATCGCCAAGGCCGACACCATCTCCAAGAGCGAGCTCCACAAGTTTAAGATCAAGATCATGGGCGAGCTGGTCAGCAACGGCGTCCAGATCTACCAGTTCCCCACGGACGACGAGGCTGTCGCGGAGATCAACGCCGTGATGAACGTGAGTGCTGGGCGAGGGCCTGGGGCTCCCCGGGGCTGGCACGGAGCTCAGACGTCCCCAGGGACCTGTTCCCTAGACGGCCGGTCTCAGCTTCTCCAGGACAGAGGGCTGGGCGTCTGGACCCGGCGGGGCCTAGGTCTCCTGGGCAGGGACGGGAGGAATCTGCTATTGGGTTTGCACGAGGTCCCCCCAGGTCTGAGTGTCACAAGATCTGGGTCAGGTTCGGCACCCGAAACCCACAGGGGTGGGCAGGCCTGAGGCCAGATTGGGCACCTGGGTGGGAGCCAGGCCCAGGGTCCTTCCAGGGGGCTCTGGCAGTCCCTGGGGAGCCCCGGTGCTGAAGGAACAGCCCAGAGAGGCGGGAGCCCCAGGGAGGGGGTTGGGGGTTCGGCCCCTTCACCTGTTTGGGGTTGTTCTAGAACATTGCTCCAGTAGAGAGTGGGAAGTGGGCATCTGGCCCTGGGGCTGCTGTTCACCCTGGCAGTCCCTCCCTGGGCCCAGGGGCGGTGAGGGCGTCTCCGTCGGCCCGAGTCGGCTCGTGCTCACGCTCACCTGGGCCCTTTCCAGGCACACCTGCCCTTCGCCGTGGTGGGCAGCACCGAGGAGGTGAAGGTGGGCAACAAGCTGGTCCGAGCGCGGCAGTACCCCTGGGGCGTGGTGCAGGGTGAGTGTGGCGGGGGAGCCCTCCCTGGGGCCTGAGCGCGGTCCCCATCCCCACCTGCTGCTGTCCCCTGCCCCGTCCTCCCTCTGTCCCCCGTGTGGCCGCCTGACCCCCACGTGCCCGCCGCTCTCAGTGGAGAACGAGAATCACTGCGACTTCGTGAAGCTGCGGGAGATGCTGATCCGGGTGAATATGGAGGACCTGCGCGAGCAGACGCACAGCCGGCACTACGAGCTGTACCGGCGCTGCAAGCTGGAGGAGATGGGCTTCCAGGACAGCGACGGCGACAGCCAGCCCTTCAGGTGACAGCCCGGGCAGGGAGGGAGCCTGTCCTCGCCGTCTCGGCCGGACCGGCTGTGGGTGTCACAGACACACGGACCCGACCGGCATCGGTGCCCTGGCATCTTGGGAGCCAGCGGCCCTAGTGCCACGAGACCCTGCTCCTCCGGCGCTGCCTGTCACTGCCCCTAATCCCCCCGGCCCTTCTCTCCTGCACCCCGCAGCCTGCAGGAGACGTACGAGGCCAAGAGGAAGGAGTTCCTGAGCGAGCTGCAGAGGAAGGAGGAGGAGATGAGGCAGATGTTCGTCAACAAGGTGAAGGAGACGGAGCTGGAGCTGAAGGAGAAGGAAAGGGAGGTGAGTGCGGGCCGGGGGCTGTGCGGGCCGGGGGCCGCGGGGAGGACGAGGAAGGCCGGCTGGGGTGTGGCACCCCCTGCCCTGCCCAGGCTGACGCCCCCCACCCGCCCGCAGCTGCACGAGAAGTTCGAGCACCTGAAGCGGCTGCACCAGGAGGAGAAGCGCAAGGTGGAGGAGAAGCGCCGGGAGCTGGAGGAGGAGACCAGCGCCTTCAACCGCAGGAAGGCGGCCGTGGAGGCCCTGCAGGCGCAGGCGCTGCACGCCACCTCGCAGCAGCCCCTGAGGAAGGACAAGGACAAGAAGAAGTAGGTGGCGGGCGGGCGGCCGTCCCCTGTACCCTCGCTCGGGCTCCTCCTGCTCATTTCCCGCTTTGCTCTTTCTCGTGTTCGCGGCGGTCCCGGCTCTGTCTCGCTCACCTCTCTCTTGCCCTCTCTCTCGCTGGTGACCTGGCATCCCGCCATCCGGGTCACGCTCTGTCCTGCACAGGTGACCCTGTGCCTGCCTTCTCCCTCCCCCGCCTGACCCCACCCCTGTCCTCTCGGGGTGCCCAGCTCTCTCCAGGTGCCCAACTCTCACTCTCGGGGTACCCAGTTCTCAATCTCCGGGTACCCAGCTCTCACTCTCAGGGTGCCCAGCTCTTGCTCTCGGGGTACCCGGTTCTCAATCTCAGGGTACCCGGCTCTCACTCTCGGGGTGTCCAGTTCTCAATCTCAGGGTGCCCAGCTCTTGCTCTTAGGGTGCCCAGCTCTCACTCTCGGGGTACCATTTCTCTCGTGGTGCCCAGTTCTCACTCTCGGGGTGTCCAGCTGTCACTCTGAGGGTGCCCAGCTCTCACTCTTGGGGTTCTCTCACTGGTGCACTTGTCCTCCTGCAGCCCCCCGCAGCTGGGCCCTGCTGCTCTGTGGAGAAGGCCGGGCCGCGCAGGCAGGGGTGGAGGGGGCAGCTGTCGGGTCTGGGGGAAGGCCTAGGAGAGGGACACGGCCTGGGGACATCAGCCTTTCCAGCCACACTCCAAAAGCTCCTGCGGTTTCCGCCCGGACGGCCGTGGCACGTACCCCCCGAGTCTCTGGAGTCACGGGGTCGGGCCCGTGTCGCTGGCAGCAGGACTCAGGCCCAGCTGCACTGACCCCCCGGACACTGCCATCACGGTGCAGCGGTCTTACAGGGCACGTGGGACTGACGGGAGGACCGTGTCTCCTTGCCGGGCTCTGTGGGGTGGGAGGAGGAGGCAAGGCTTTTCCCAGCACCGGGAGTGCAGTGAACCTAGTGGCCAGGTGGGGGCAGCTCTGAGTCGCACGTGTCGCTGCTGTCTCCACACCCTTAGCCGGAGCACAGGTGTCCTGGCTCCTGGGGACCCCCTCTCCCACCCACTCATGGCCCCAGGCCAGATCACACTGTAGGGGTCTCTTCCATCTCTGCACATCCCTGCCCTGGTGTCAGGTGCCGACTTTCTCTTGCCAACCCGGGAACCAAGCAGGGGTACCCACCTGGCCCTTGTTCTCAGGGTCTGTTTCCTCCTGGAATGTCTGGGGACATGTGTGCACAAGCGCATCCTTCTCTGGTGGCAGTGGAGCCTAGTGGTTAGGGCCATGCAGTGCATAGTTAGCTGTGGCCCTGGGGTGCTGTTTTTGCCGTTAGCACTTCCCCCCTTTCCATCCCCAATGTTGCATTTTTCCTAACACGTACAAGGAGAACACGTGTGCACACACTGTCTTAGTCTCCCCATGCCCCGTCACACACGCGGGCTCAGGCACATGTCCGCCAACGCACAGTGCGTGCACAGAGGCACAGATACCTGCTGAGGACAAGACAATCAAAGGGCTTCTCCCCGGGGTAGCCGAGTGACAGAGAACCAGGCTTCCAGGAGCTGGATGCCAACTCTCCTTCCTAAGGTCTGTCCTCTGCTTTGGGACAAGCCCTCCCGCTCTGTGTAAGCTCCCCCATCGTCATGTCCAGTCCTCCCCCGACCCCCCCCCCAGCTACTGGCAGTGCTGGGGGGCAGATGAGCCCCTGCCTGGCTGCAGGGAGGACCCCAGCCCGTGCTCCCCCAGCCATGTGACTTTCCCCCCTGCTTGGCGTTTGCTTCTGGCCCTGCTCCCACGTCCAGCTGTCTGTGTGGTGAGCGTGGAGGCTTCGTGGGTTGGAACCTGCATGGGTTTCAAGCTGGCAGCTCAGAAATCGGGTTTCTCCTGGGGCCAGGGGTGGGGGGTGGGCAGAGGTCTGGGACCCAGGGTCTGGCACCCAAATTGACTTTGCCGTACTTCCTGGCAGCTCGGCCCAGGCCATGCTGTGAAAGAAAAGGTAGGCAGGTTGCCCTAGGAGGTGAGCTGCAGAGAAGCCACTCAGAAGTCAAAGACAAGGGCCTGTGGCCAGGTCAGGGTGTGAGGCCAGCGAGGTCGGGTGCAGGCAGGGCCTTGTCCCTCGCGACTGGTCTCCCTGCTTCCCCCATGTGGCCGGGGCTCCTTGGTGTGTTCCCCATCCCTGGCCTGGAAAACAGGTCTGTTCCGTTTGCTGGACATGCCAGAAAGCTCCAGTCAGTTTGGCCTCTGGGAGAGAGAACTCCCCTCCTGTGCTGGCCTCCTGGGGGCCAGGAGCGGGCTGGGCGGGGTGGCCGGAAGCGCCCCTTCCTCCTGCCCCGGTCACGGGGACGGGGTGAGCCGGGAGTGCCTTTTCTGGGAGGGGTGGCGGGGAGGGTATTTTTTCGTGACCATTTGTGTGAATGGCTTTGCTCGATTATATTTGGTCTTCGGGTTTTAATCCGTTTTTGCAACGTTGCTTCCCAATCAGATCTTGACCCTCAGCCGGTGACGCCACAAACGGAAGCGAGTTCTCTGCTTTGCGCGGCGCAAGGCCAAACTGACTGCCCTTTCCCCGCGTCTGCCTCGCTGTCTCTGGCTTCTGTTTGATTCGCTCTGCGTATCTTTTTAATGCGTCTGTTTCTGTTTTGTTTGTTTTTATTTTTATTTTTCAGTTAACGCACGCACAGACTTACATGTCAAGAGCGGACTTTAGCCTTTCATGTGTTAAGTTGCTTGAGTTACACCCTGGGACCCTTCTCCCAAAGCATGGTGTGAGGATGGACTGGGAGCCGGTACAGACTCCAGTGTTTACAGCTCTGCCCCCGGCGGGCCGCCCCCCCCATGCAAACACACAAAAGCCATGAATGCTGGAACCCAAAACTGACGAGGTTTATTTTTTTCAGAGCCAGTGGCTGGTCTTCCATTTACAGTGTCACTATTCCCTGACGGAGCAGCTGCCGGCCGCTCTAGCAGAGGCCCCGGCCGGCGACCTCGGGCCGCGCCGGGCCTGCTGTCCAGCGTCCAGACGGCAGCCCCCGGGCGCGTGGCCTCGTGCACATGCTGCAAAATCCGCCCGGCCCCCCTTCGTTTTAATTTTTCTAACCTAGAGCTTCGTTTTAATAATAACTTTAAAACACTTCTAAATTTTTATTTTGGCACCAGCACATAAAGACGAATAATACCCTCTCCCATTATTTTCATAAATAACACAGATGCTCTGGTTTTTGAAAACTAAAAATATCTCTAAACCTTTCTTATGTATAAAAGGCCCCCCCATAATACATAGGGAGAGGTGGGTAATAAACGTCCTGTAATGACAATGTTTGGAATTTCTTTCCGGATGGAAGCGGAACAGCAGGAGTGAGACCATGCCCGGTGTCTCTACTGTGAATGTAAATGGAACAGCAGCCCAAAGCCATTGTCTCTGTGCCCTGCGGTGCTACCTGTGAGCAGGGACCAGCTCCGTGTGTGTGCGCAGTGTCTGACTCCGGCCAAACGCACCCCCCCACCCCAATCCTGTGTACCCCAAATGCAAAGAGTGCTCAGTGCGGAGAAGGTCGGTACCTCAAGGTCATTGTTTCTTCTTTCCTGGCTGAGTCCCAGGGTGGAGAGATGTCGGTGTCTGCTGTGTGTAGACAATTCAGGGACAGACCAGCAGACAAGGAGCTCCCCCTCGGCTGTGCTCTAAGGGGAGCATTTTGAGAGGAAGTCACAGCAGCCTTGGCTCACCTGTGCTCCTGTTGGCTTCCAAGCCACTGAGAGTGTCAAGGTTGAGACCGTAGCCTGGTGACATGGGAGACGAAAGGAAGGACATCCTTGGACGCTGGGGAGCACGGCCCTGCCTTCAAGGAGCTCCCGGTCCGGCGCTGCCTGGCGGGAAGCTCAGGAGGCCGCGCTGACTTGCTGTCGAATCCGTGGTTTGCTTTTTGCGCCCACTGTCCTCCCAGCCATCGCTGTCTCCCCCTTTCTGCCTGGCCTGCTTTACTGACTTCCAGGACCGAGTCCTGGCTTCCTCCCGCCCTTCCGAGAGGATGTTCCGGGCGGGGGAGGGGCGCGTTGCCTGTGTCCACTGAGGCACGGCCAGAGAGAGGCAGCGTTCCCGCGGGAGCACCTCCACGCGCCAGGAGCAGAGCGGGTCCTGCTCGTGTTCAGAGCGAAAATTCTCCGCCCCTTAAGCCAGAACCAGGGGCAGACCTGGATTTTGTGGGGCTGGAAGCTTGAATGTTTAGGAAAACTTCTTTAAGAAAGAGAATACGAAAATAACATTAGGGACAGGCCCTGGAAGGGGCCTTGAAGATTAAGCTTCGTTAGCTTCACGATCAATCCACTTTGGGCTGTGACCGAAAACCGGTGCTCCCGTGTGGGTGTCTGCGAAGGGAAGCCAGCACAGGAAGGCAGAGGTGGGCTGCAAGGCGCCCGTCCTTAGGGTCATCCTGTGTCCGAAAGTCTGTTCAGCTGGGTCAAAGTGTGACCTTTAAGATAGCTTCTCTCAGCTGATGTCTTTCTGAAGATGAGGCCTGGTGACCCAGCAGGGACATTGGCTATATAGGAGGTGACAACTTCTGGTTCATGCCCCAACCTGGGGACCTTGGAGTGGGCAGCCTGCGTCCCCACCCTGGGCATCCTGGAAGGGCACAATTGTGGCTGGTTGCTTGCCTGGGGGCCCCAGACTTCCTGCATCTCTGGGGAGACCCGACAGAATAGGAATTTTTAGGGTCTGAGCTGCCACCATGGGTGCCACTGGCTCTAGCAAGCCCCACCGCTCCTCTCCCTGGCTGTTTGTTGTGTTTGCAATTTTGTCTTCTTTAGCTGAGACCAAAGTAATCCTTGGTGCACAAGGTGAGCTTCAAACTTGCCATTATTTAACAAGCTACCCCTCGTGGAATGTGACTTTGTCTTCAGGATCTAATGTATCCCCCCCCTCTTTTTTTTTTCCTCGTTGTCATCTGTTTGCATTATTACAGTTGTCATGTAGGGTCATGGTGGCATTTACTATCATGTCTTTCATAAACCATGTTGGTTTGGGGTAGAAGGATCACCATATAATTTATCATCCAAACTGGGACTTTTGAGAGAGAAAGGGGATGTTGTTAATAAATACACCAGGTCAACAGGCAAAAACCAGAACGGTCCCAAGTGAACTGGGTTATATGGTCTCCCTAGTTATGAGTAACCCTGACCTAGGTGGTTTGTCATGGTGCGGGCCGACTACACATGTGTTCATGTATGTCTGTGTGTGGACTCCTTGTTAAGTGGGGCTCATATTACTGGATACGGCCTGAAGGAAGTGCTGCTTGCTAGTCTGTTATGTTAACGTGCTTTTCTAAAACTGCTTCACTTGTTAATTCATTTACTCCTGCATTCATTGACTGTTTTTGTTCCTTTTCCATTCACTTTGTACTCATTTTTCCCCCCATTAAATTTTTGCATTTATTTTGAGTTTTCTGTGGTGTCTTTTTTTGGGCAGTCGCTTTTCTGATTTAACAAGTGTCCCGAGCCTATTCATCTGCTATCACTGTGGTGAAATACAGCTTGTGTTTTCTGTGAACTTTTGTGGAGGTTGCTGTACTTCCGTAGGAATTACATTTTAACAGGGAATCCCGCTGTTCATCTGTGAAAGGCTCTTGGATGAGTGTGGGCTGGAGGAAACAGTTAGGAAAGAGAAGGTAGGCTGTGGCCCGACTCTTTATCGGGCACTGGACACAGGACAGGAGAGCAGGCACACCCTGCCCTGCAGGAGTCGACGTCCTTATCAAAGAGGCTTGACCTGGGACAGCCGACATTTGAGTGCTTAATGTGCCAGGATCTCTCTGAAGTACGTTCCACGCATTAACTCCTCTAATCCTCACCGTAATCCTGTGATTAGTGCCATCATCCCCTGTTTTATAGGTGAGGCATGGAGAGCTTAAGTAATCACCCGTGGTCACATAGCAAGTGACAGTAGGGGCTGGGGTTTGACTGTCGGTAGTCTGCACCTGTAGTGCCCGAGCTGCCGCCGCTCCTTGGCGTCCCAGTGGAAAGATGGAAGAGGAGCGGGGATGTGGCCCGTGTTGAGAGTGTGCAGTCAGCGGGTGGGCTGGGGGACCTGAAGCGGTGTTGCAGAGGTGGGGTGCCCCAGGGCACAGGCAAAGGTTTGGCGGAGGAAGGACAGACTGGTGGTTCAAGGAAGTGACAAACAAATACGTGTGTTTATTTGTTGAGGGACTTTCTCTGTCGGGTCCTAGGTAGACTGGGAAGACCAAAATGAGAAAATGAGGACAGAGGTTTGGGGAGCCCGGCACGCAGACCTCTGTGATGAAGGGGTAGCGCGGCTGCACCCGTGGGAAGGCAGGTGGCGGGAGGCAAAGTCTTCACTGAGCTTTGGAGGACAGAGACTCTCCTGGAAGCCAGGGGAGAAGGGGCCTCCTTGGTAGGGGAGCACCGTGCACCCCCTCGCCCGTTTGGGGGAAGTGCTGTTGGACAGGTTTAAGAAAGGCCCAGAGGCCTCTCACCCTGCGCAAACTCTGAGACAGCCTGGGCCGGCGTGGGCCCTCAGGGAGCCCTCCTGCCGCCACAGCGCCAGCTCGCCCCGGAAGGAGGGAAGGAAGCAGAGGGCGGTCGTGGCTTCCACTGGACGCTGTGACCACGAGCAGTATGGCCTCAGCATCTCCATCCGAAAATTGGGTGTAGGACTAGAGGAAAATTCTTGATAGGACCTAGGAAATAGCGTTCCAAGATGCTAGCACACTAAGCACAGCATCCCATAAATGCAAAATAAGATTCAAGACAGGATCGGAAGCAATTAAAGTTTATTATTATTTTTTTTTTTTTACGAAAGCTCCAACAAGCACATTTGTGTCAAGAAGAGGCAGAGATGTACGCCCACCTTATAACGTGGGCAATGATAGTGTGTCTGGCCCTTGACCACTTCGCCCCACCCCATCCGGTGGCTTAGTGTATTTACAGATAAGCCGTTCGCTGCGGAAAGACTTCACAGGCCACCTCTGAATGCCTGGCTCGGCCCTTCCCATCCAGGGCGCTATCCGCACGGGTGTCCTTGTCAGCTGGGCTGCCCTGCTCAGAGACTGGTCCAGAGCAGCGCAGCCTCACGGAGCCGCTGGCTTCGCCGCAGAGCCATGCAGGTGGCCTCCTCCTCCTCCTCCTCCAGGCAGCGTAGTGGTTGCAGCAGGCAGGCGTGGCCTCAGCACCTGCTCATCCCAACTAAGGGCTCTTAGAGCTGAGGCTCCCCATCACAGGTGTTAGCCTGTAATACCCATTCGTTAGCGTAGACCAGTAACTTGCTCACGCCTGTCATCCTAGCACTCTGGGAGGCCGAGGCAGGAGGATCGCTCAAGGTCATAAGTTCGAAGCCAACCTGAGCAAGAGCGAGACCCCCGTCTCTACTAAAAATAGAAAAAAATTAATTGGCCAACTAAAAATATATAGAAAAAATTAGCCAGGCATGGTGGCGCATGCCTGCAGTCCCAGCTACTCGGGAGGCTGAGACAGGAGGATCGCTTGAGCCCAGGAGTTTGAGGTTGCTGTGAGCTAGGCTGACACCACGGCACTCTAGCCTGGGTGACAGAGTGAGACTGTCTCAAAAACCAACCAACAAACAAAAACCCCAATAACCTAAACTACTTAAAAGAAGAACAAAGGAAAAGTATGCCTGAAGCTTGCTCAAGTTCCTGTACGTTAAACAAAAGCATACTTTATAATCTAGTCCTTGTGAAGAGAAGACGTAAGTCGTGGACATGCCGCCCCGTGTTTGGAGCGGCAGACAGGGTAGCTGGAGCTAGCAGAACTGCACATGTGTTTGAGGTGAGCCTGGGAAAGTGGAAGGATCTGGCCAGCTCTGGCGGGTAGAGCAGCAAGGACTGTTCGTTCGGTCAGAGCCAGCCCTGAGCAAGGACGGCCTCCTGGCCTCATATTCCAGCTCTCAGGGCCCAGTGCTAACGCTTGCTGGAGAAGGAAGGAAAAACGCGGGGCGGTTTGAGTATGCATTTATTCTCCTGGATTTCAGGCCCAGGGGAGAGACGGGGAAGGCAGGATCATGGTCTGTCAGACCACCCTGACCTCTACCAACCTGCCTTCCCCCCACCCCTATATTTTCTAAGGACTCGGGAACCTCTTCTCTGTTGTTCTTCCAGGGCTTTCTCTCCATTCTTGTTACAGGATTCATAAAGCCAAAGGATTCACAGGAATCTAAGCAAGGAGCATTCCCTTTATGCTCTGAAGGCACAGGGGAAGGGGCAGAAGGGCTGCTGGGCAGGTGAAACACAATGCTTTCTGTGCAGGAGGATGACTAAAAACTTCTCAGCCGCTGCTTTACAAGTTCCTTGCAGCGGTTGTACTGCTCGAGACTGACCTGTGTTAAAACAAAGTAGCCCCCCTTGAGGCAGAGGCATCTCACATTCTGAGGAACAGGCAGCCAAGTGCCAGAATGTTAGTGTGAAGTAGCTGCAGAAAGGTCCAACCACCCAACTAAAGAGCATTAATCCTACCATCTCAGGGACATGCCTCTCCAGCCTCCTTAAAACTGTCATAGCCTAACTGCGCATCCCATCCTAACCTGTCTGTTCTGATGTACCCCCCCTCCCTCTCAGTGCCGGTCTCGTGGTACCCCAGTACCTGGCACCACGTGCTCACACCGAGGGCGAGGAGTCTGCAATTTACACTCCCCAATAGTAAGCTCAAGGTTGCCTCTTCCTGAGCTGGGCACCTCCCTGCCCTGCAGTTCTCTTGGTTGCAAGGGTTGCCACGGAGATAAAATTTCTCTGTCCGAGAAACCCACCACCATTGGTCCGGTGAAGGGACCGTGTGTCCCATGCTCAAGTCTGTAGAGCACAGCCAGGTGTGGAAACTTAGCCCTTAGGCAGACTCTCCCCAGAGTTGTGGCTGGGACATCCTCTGGCGCCCCCAAGGGCCAAGGTTACCCTGCTGGGGGCAGCATGCATCAGCTAAAGGGGCAAGACGCAGAGCCCGGTCTGGGCAAAGTTGATGTCTACCTGTGCTTTCTTTAGCAGATCAGATATAGGAGCACAGCAGTCGGGCATGAGCCTCTCCAACTCTAAGGTGATGATGACCAAGGCCAGTGTGGAGCCCTTGAACTGCAGCAGCTGGTGGCCGGCCATGCAGTGCTGCAGCTGCCTGGTCAGGGACGCGACGTGGAGGGAAGGATTCCTCTGAGGCAGCAGCCCCAACACATGGGGCCAGCTCAGGACCACCAGGGAATGGAACTGGAGACCATGGTTTTTAATGTTAGAACAGAAAACCCCATACTTTTCCTATATCCATGACCAAAAGTGCAAATGATTTAAATTTCCATCAGGGAGTACCCGAATATCGCCCACCCCTTTTCATTCCTATCCGTGGCTCCACAAGGGGCTTGGGGCTGAATGCCCATTCTGTGGCCAAAGCTGAGCTTTGACCCTCGAGGGAAAAGACAATCAGCTTTGTGACATGGTCATTTTGAGCCTCAAGTACTTGGATGACAATGTTTCGATTCCCAAAAAAAAATAGAAACATATTCAAGAGATTAAGGATAGCAGAGAAGTTACTTGTATCTGCTTGACATAAGAAACTCTGCAAACTGGCAACAGTGGCTGGTTCTCATAACAAAACAGCCCTTTAGTGATTTAATCTTCATGCTTCATAACAGACCAAAACCCCATGACATCTCCATATTGCATAATTTTGCCTTACTAACAGAACCATATCCCTAAGGATGACCATCATTCCCCAACTAAAACGAACTAATGTATGATATTTTTTTAAGTGCCAGATCAATATGGTCTAAAGCCTCAGCAAGAATGGTGTGTAGGTGAAGAGAGACAGCTCAGTGAATGTGTGTAAAGAGTAGCACAAGCAGACAGCTATTTATGTACAGTATTCATAGAATGGAAAGGTAAAATATTTTTGCAGTGTGTATTTAAAAGAGAAACTCGCCATAACAGTGCCATCTACAAAGTCTTTGCAAAGTTAATTTCATGTCCCTTGGAAGCAGGAGTCTGGTGGGACTGTGCTGGGTTTAAGGCACATTTTCCCTCCTCCGTATGTCGTGAGCCTTGTGGGTGACCTCACCGCGGTGCGTGTGCGGGGACGTGTGCCCGCCCATGCTCTGCCACCCTGCGTTGTGAACGGCTGTTCCAAAGGCACAGACGAGTCCGGAGTGGACTCTGCAAACTCCCCCTACTTACTATCATCAAGAAATCCAGCGGCGTCCCGATACAGAGGTCCCAGTGCAGTCTGTCCAGAATAGCCAGCTCCATCCTCAGCAGCTCATTTGGGCTATAGCCAGAGCCATAGTGCTTTAAGAAGTCTTTTACATGTGGAATTAACTGTAAAAAGAAAATAAAGAGGCGAAAGCCCTACATCACGTCACAGTAGCTTTTGTTTTCTTGTCCGTGGGGACTGGGCATCCGAGACCTTAGCGGAGGCGTTTCCTAGTGGCCTGTCACGGGAAATTCTTCAGAAGGAAAAATGAAGCCCTATCTTCGCTACCGTGTTTCCCCGAAAATAAGACCTACCCATAAAAATAAGCCCCACCCCGAAAATAAGCCCTAGTGCTGGGCGTGGCTACGCAGCACATCTGCACAACCCATGCATTTCCTGGCAGAGTGGTAAAGACGATGAGCAGCCCTTCTCATCTGCCCCGTTGTAATAGCTACTACCCCAGAGGTGACCGGAAAGGTGCGGGCAGCCCCACCACCAAGGTCGGCTCCCCCTGTCAGGTCCTGGCCATCCTGTGCGTGCTACAAGCTGAGGCTTTGAGGGGAAAACGACACATCCCCTGAAAATAAGCCCTAGGGTGTCTTGAGGAAAAATAGATATAAGACCCTGTCTTATTTTCGGGGAAACATGGTATCTGTCGAATCCTCAGATAGGTGTGTGTTGGACGTCACATGGTCACACTCTACAAGTAGGTGTTGATCCCCCAGCTGCATGCCCGCTCATCCCCAAAGGTGCTTGGGAGGCTGGGGCTGGGCCATCTCTCCGGTGCAGCTGCAAGAATGCGCCGGAGTCTTCCAGGAGCCGTGGTTCCCGCCCATTCCTGTCCCTGGTCCCTACCAAGGTGACTTGTCAAGGAGAGAAAAAGCTATGGTCTTGAGCTTCCTGATCTGCACCAGACAAGCCCACTGACAAAACCTCCTTTGGTTTTCTGGCATCGCAACTGCAAACACATTTCCTTCAACCTCGATTGAAGGTGGTTCGGTCTGGAAAAACTCTTGACTTTCCTCCAGAAGACTAAGGCTTGTCTAAGAGTAAATGTTCAAGTACCAAGTGCATTAAAGACCTGGTCCTAGTTTTAGATAAAGGAAGCATTCCTATAAACCTCCAGAAATACTTCTTTTAAGGGTCCTTTACTTTTTAGTTGGACAAAAGCAAACTTTTGGGGACACAAATTACATTCCAATAAAAAAAGGGGCCAGGCATGGTGGCTCATGCCTGTAATCCTAGCACTCTGGAAGGCTAAGGCAGGGGCTGCTTGAGGTCAAGAGTGTGAGACCAGCCTGAGTGAAAGCCCGTCTCTACCAAAACTAGAGAAATTAGCTGGCGTGGTGGCGTGCACCTGTAGTCCAGCTCCTCGGGAGCTGAGGCAGAAGGATTGCTTGAGCCCAGGAGTTCAAGGTGCAGTAAGCTGATGAGTGTCACTGTATTCTACCAAGGGTGACAAGTGAGACACTGTCTCAAAAAAAAAAAAGTTTAAAAACATTTTTTTGAAGGTTTGAAACTGGACACACAACTTTTTCCCTCTCTGGGGCCGAGGACAAACCCAGGGAGACCCATGGGAATGGCAGTGGTTCCGCCCCCAGAGGCCAGGCGGAGGAGGGGAGTCTGGGATAGGGTCAGGAGACAATCTGCTCCTGAACAGAAGCCACAGCGGACCGCAGGCCAGGCAAGCCTGAGGCACTCAGGGGCTTCTCCTTTACCCCCGCACATGGTCCTCCCGGCCCTCTCCGAGAAGGGTCCCCGACGTTTCTGGACATAGGCAAGACTTAAAGTCTCAAGCAGCTCCTTAGACCAGTTTCTGGGAGTGGCATGAAGCCACACAGTTTGGGACCTTTTTCCCAGCTCGACAGCAGACGCTTCTGTTTAGGGAGCGGCAGTGGCATCAACCAGCGAGGCGACATGCATCTGCCACGAGCGGGCTGCCGGGTTCTGGGCAGGATAGCTCTGCTGTTCTAATCGTCCATTGGTGGGGTCTTGGGTCTGACCGGCCTAGGAAGGGGCAGCAGGATCCTGGGAAGTCAGTGATGTTCCCAAGACGCCCACTGTTCTCAAAGGCACAGACACGTCAGGAAACCTGAGCGTTTCACCCCGCAGTGTTACACCCTGTACTCACAAATGCAGCCCCCGTGCCTTGCCGGGACACGTACCTTCTGCTCTTCGTTAATTTTACAGCGAGTCTCAAGGAAGTAACCGTGACACAGTGGAGTAACCTCTCTGTCACCTACGGTGTGGAGCAAACACGTGGGCAGAATGTGAATGCCAGGAACACACTGAAAAGCATCTGTGGTTTTTTTTTTTTTCCTTTAAGAAAATACGCCCTCCTTGGGGGGGTTTACCAAGGCCACGGAAAGAAAGAAAGGGTCTTCTACTAGGTCTAAACTGGAAAATCCCCAATTATTTTAAAGTCAAAAAAAAAAAAAAAAAGAAGCAGCAGCAGCAGCTTTTCTTTTCTTTCTTTTTTCCACAAGACAGCAAGTGCCACTTTTAGATTTGGCCAGCGAAGGTGCTCTTGATTTCAGAACAACAGTGACCAGTCAGACTCTTCGTCAGCGACGGCCTGGGGGTGGGGAAGAGGCCCGCACAAACGCCCTGCCCTCGCACAGGAACCAGCCTTCCTGGGCTCTCTGATGCTCCCAATTTAGCTTTGCCGCGGGTGACGCCGCCACCCGGCCCCACCGGGGTCGTGGCGAAGTTCCCATCCCAGCTCACCACTTGGGCGGGTATTTAGTCTGTGTACCTCGGTTTGAACGTCTGGGTCCCCCAGCTCTCGGGCAGAATGGGGAGCAAAGGCTAGTTTCTTTTCTTTCCCCACCGTCTGTCTCCCGCCCTCCGAGGCCTCCCTACCTTCGCCGAGAGCACGACGCGGCCGAGGATGGTGAGGGCCAGGTTGAAGGTGGCCTGGGAGAACTCGAAGACGTTCTCCAGCCTCAGGAGCCGCAACACGGCGCCCTCAAAGGCGCCGCAGATCTCAGCCCGCTGGAAAGAAGGGCAGGGCGTGCAAGGAGGTCGCTGGTGGCCAGACTCGGTCACCAACGGCAGGAGCAGCCTGTCTTAGGTGACCAGAGGGCGTCACCTGAGAAGCCCCTGGGCCTTGCGTCCCCGCGAGATGAGGCGCCCCTCTGCTGCCCAGCTGCACCCCGACGCACACGCCCCACCCCGCGCCCCGTTTCGTGCTGAGCGGGGCCCCCAACTCCAGCAAGCCCACCGCCCAGGAAGAGAAGCGAGTGAATCAGCGTCCTACCAGTGAGGGGGACACACCTGGGGAAGGGCCGGGCCTCCAGCGTGCGGAACACCTGAGCGCGGCACAGGTGGGGCCCGTCCGCCTCCCGTGCGCGTGGGGCGGGCCCGGCCGCGGGCGCCCTACCTGGGCTCTGTCGCCCGGCCACCGGCGCGCCTCGCGCTCCCGGGCCACTTCCAGGCGGCCGAGCAGCCGGCGCTCGTCCAGGGGGCCGGCCAGGTCGCCCGGCGCGCGCCGCGGGCGGGGTCCGGGTGTGAGTCTCGCCGAGGCGGCGCCGCCCGGCGCGGGGGCGTCCGGAGTCCCGCGGGCTGGGGGGGCCCCGGGAACCTGCTCCGCGTCCGCGCGGGCGGAGGGGCGGCCCGGGGCGGCGGCGGGGAAAGGGCCGCTCCGTCCGGACGCCCCCAGCGCACGCCGCGCGGCTCTGCCCTCCGACGCCCGCGGCCGCGACGGGAACGGCGGGCCCGAGGCCATGGCGGGAACCGGCTCCTGGGACTCGCTGCGACTTACCCGCTTTTTATAACCCTGCGGCAGGGGTCGCCGGCCGGCCCCACCCCAACCCCACCCCACTTGCGTGGGTGGGCGGCGCGCGCGTGGGTGGGCCCCCTCTTCCTTCCGCCCCACCCCCGCTCGCACCCCTCGTCCCCGCGCGAAGTCCGCGCTCCACGCTCTGTCGCCAGCCCCGACGGGGCGGCCGGTGACCCCGCCGGCCTTGGGCGAGGACACCAGGCCACAGAACCTGCGCCTGCGCCCCGCCTCGGACTGCAGACTCCAGGACGCGAGACCAGGTAGAGGAGCGCCCCAGATGGAATCAGGACTCGCTGCGAGACCTCGAGCACGTGTGGACCCCTCAGGCGCTCGGGCACCCCTTCTTTCACAAAGTGATAGCACTCCCTTCACGACGCGTTCATGCCCGCACGCATCGTCCATTCATCAGTGCTTTACTGAAGGCTTACTGAGTATTGGGCGCTGGAGCATAGTGAACACAGATAGGCCCGGAACATACCGTCTAGTTAGGAGAGAAAGGCAATAAACATGAGTAGAATACATGGAAATCCCAGGAATTTCACTCTTAGGTATATGCCCAAAAGAAATGCATATGCGTGCACCAAAAGACACCCACAGCATGTTCAGAGCAAGACTATTTGTGATAGCCCCAAACTGGATACAACTCTAATGTCTGTGAAAAGTTGAATGGGATAAATAAGTCGTGGTGTATTCACATAATGGAATCCTACGCCCTGTTGGAAAAGGACGAACTGCCAGCAGTTGTATACACAACAGTTCAGAATTATTTCACAAATATAATAGTGAGTGTAAGGGAACAGATAGATACAAAAGAGTTCACACTGTGTGATTCCATTTATATAAAGTATTTTAAAAAGGAAAACTAATCTATAATGTTAGAATCAAGATAGTGGTCGCCCTTGCAGGTGGGTAGATAATGACTGAAAAAGGAACACAAGGAGCTTGTGGGTAGCTGGTAATGTTCTGTTTTCTTACCTAGATGCTGATTACATAGGTGAGTTCACCTTGTGAAAATCATTCAAGGTGTACACTTACAATTTATACACTTTTCCTTATGTAACGTGTGTGTGTGTGTGTGTGTGTGTGTATTTTAATTTTAGGGATGAGGTCTTGCTATGTTGCCAGGCTGGAGTGCAGTGGCTATTTTCAGATGTGATCATAGCACACAGCCTCAAACTCCTGGTCTTAAGCAATCCTCCCACCTGAGCCTCTCGAGTAGCTGGGACTTATAAGTGAATGCCACTATGCCTGGCTCCTCAGTTAAATTTTATTTAAAAATTTCATTACATTACATTTACATTTAAAATATATGAGAATACCAGAAGAAGAAGAAAGAGAAGAACAGAAGAAATATCTGAAACAATAAGGACTGAGAATGGCCCCAAATTA